CCGCCTCCACATGATAGCGCAATGGTTAATGTGATCGCGAATCGACGTCCAGTAAAAGTCTCGGTTTGACATTTCGTCAATAGTTAGGCGGTGCGTCATGTTTATATCAGAGAATGCGCCCCAGCTATTGTCATCGCGATATTCGTCAACCGATTCTTTGTCAAAACAAGGTCCGGGGACCCAGTGGTTGAGCAAGATGTCATATTTGCATCCTTGGGCTTTTGCTTCTTCGGTCGAGTTGCCGCAATTTATAAGACGCTTGCCCGAAGTGACGTTGTGCCGTATGCCGGCGAGGTGATTCTCCAGTATCGTGGGGTGAGTCGATGCCGAGACTTGCGTCGAGCTTATCGGCATTGGTGAAGGGACGATGAGAAAAACGACGAAACCCCATACTAGAGATGTCGCAACGAAGACCAGCACGTGGGATAGTACTGTCGTACGGCGTTTAACGGGATGCTGTGGAGGACTGGTCTCCTCGGCCGCCGGGTCGTCCGAGTATTTCAGGAAGGGCTGATATTCGGGAGTTGAAGCCATACTGGGTGCGAAGTTGCATGCAGCTCATGAGATGGTCTGAAGGTGCAATAAGCAGCTGCAATGAGCGTATTCTGGGGGGAAACTCTATGATTTTATTCGGCCTGCTGTACTAACCGTGTGCTCTCTTTGCCTCTGACGCTACAAACGGTGATGGCTGTGCGCGCACGCGCATGTTACACATGCTGTTTTAAACCAAGGCTTTCCGCAAACATGCTCACATACTGCAGAGACCCAGCTCCGTTTCATCCCAACATTTTGACCTGAAATTGAGTCTGATGTTTCAGCTAAAATGATGATCCAATTGGCTAACTTTAACTTTGTCTTTTCTACGCTTTTGCGATTGGCTATTCACCACATGGCTCAGGGATGCAGGTGACAATCAATCGAGGATGCTGGTGCCAATCTTCAGGGATGTTGGCGGCAAATGATGTCTCCGTGGGTGTCTCGACAAATCGTATCTCATCACCAACACTGCGCCGCGATGCAAACGAGAACACCTGTTCGGAATTGCCGACGATGCCGACGAACGGAAGTGTGTGATTGCGTCCAGTTAGAGATTTGGTGCCGCGTGAGTAGTGAAATGTAAGCATACGATGCATATTTACGCATTGCAACGTCGATATGATATTTGCTTGGGAGAAAGCAAAATTCTCGCTTGGGGGTGAAGTTCTCTTTTGCCCAGGCACACTTTTGGCAGGTCTACTACGTCCTGAGTCTTGGCTGTGATCTTGCGCCACGGCAATGCCAGTTGACCTTTTGCACATTTCCTTCCAGGCTGTCTGTGATAAAAACGGTCTTGTTCTCTGGCCCGCCAAAGCAGCAGTTCGTCAAGTTGATACCACTCGTCCCACTGACTATGCGTGCTTTGGGGATGCCATTCGAATCTACGACGAAGATGGATCCTAGACTGGGATGACAGATGAAGAGGCTCCCCTCTTCGTCAATTGCTAGTCCATCTGGACCCGCGTTCCCGAATGACTGAAAAAACACACCAGCTTTGGTTGTTGTCCCATCAGAATGAAGAGGGAGACGCCAAACCTGGTTAGATCTTGTCATCGCAACGAACAAAAACTTTTCGTCGGGCGAGAGAACGAGTCCATTTGGCGACACGCCGTTCTCAACAATTGTCTCCAGTTTTCCGCCAGCCAACAACCTGTACACTTTGCCAGTTGGATCTGTCATACCGGTTTGGCCTTGGTCAGTGAAGTAAATACTTCCTCGAGAATCAACAATCAAGTCATTTGGGCCCTTGAATCGCTCGAGATGACGCCGGGTGATCAGTGGTTTGATCTTCTGATTGGATGGATCGAAGGAGAGGATTCCCTGAACACGATCAACTTGGTAAGGCTAAGATGTTGCGAATCGGCGCGGTGAATTCTGCGTACCTGCTTGTAGTCTGCAATGACCAAGTGACCGTCATGAGTTGCAGCAAGCCCATTGGGTTCACCGTCCCATGTCGCGACAACGGTAATGGTCTTCCCCGGGTCAATCCTAAGGATTCGACCGTAGGGAACATCCACGATATAAAGGTTGCCAAGATTATCGACGACTGGTCCCTCGAGAAAAATATGTTGGAATTGTCGCGCAAAGCCACCGCGCCACTCGGTGTCTTTTCCAAGGCAACGCATATCGTCTGGAATCCGAACGTAAAGTTCGGCCTGTATGATCGGTGGCACGGGATAGAAGTTCATTGCGAGAAACGTATGTGAATGTTTATGCGATGTTGTCCAACTGGCAACTGGCAGCAGGCGCAATCAAAGGGTTAAAGACTTCGTCAAGGAGCCAATCCGAAATCACAGATAATCAAAATTTCATGGACAAGTTCTCTCATAAGATCCTCGCTGAGTATGTGGGATCGGCAGGGACGGAAATCCTCCGGTAATTAGTGTCGTCGGACAGGACCCGGGCCTGACCTTCGGCGCAATTCCGAATCATACCCCCTAAATGGTGAGCTGCCTAGGATTTCCGCGTAGTATCCCCCGAATCCGGGACGCAGCAGCTCGCGGGGCCCGGGGAAGGTTGTGAAATTATGACAAGGGTGGACAAAGATATCAGGAAGCGATTGTGCTTATCACTAATGTTAACAACCAAGCTCTGGTTTACCAGTATTTCTCACCTAGTGTAGCTCATCAAGCTGCTCAAAATGTCCCTCATCAGTGCCACAACAGCTGCTGTACGAAACAGCCCCAGAGAGATATTCAATCGATACTTGTTTGTCTGCACCTGGATATGGAGCTTCTCAGGGGTCGCGAAAGGATTCGACGAAGGTGTGTACCGAAAATACATCGGTGTACGCATGTATCCAGCTAATGAGCCTCTCGCCACAGGCAATATCGCATCCCTGGTCACAATGTCCGTCTTCAAAACTCGATTTGGGATAGGTGATCAATCTGAAAGCGAGTATTCGAATACAAAAGGCTGGATTGTGGCTATCGCGACGGCTGGTGCTGTCCTTGGTTGTTTGGCCTGCGTAAGCCTCACTGAGAAGTTGGGCCGTCGGCTAACAATGCAAATCTTCACATTGATATACATTACCGGAATCTTGGGGCAAACATTCTCTAGTGGAAATATGACGGGTCTATACTCCTCGAGAATCATCTCTGGTGTAGGAATAGGTGCTACAACGGTGCTGCCTCCCGTGTACATTTCCGAGGTAGGGACGCGCGCTATCTCAAGGCACCGTGTTTCGCAAACTGATCGATAGTGTAGATTGCCCCTCGGTCGATACGCGGTCTCTTGACTCTTCAATACACCTGCTGTCAGCAGCTGGGAGTTGTGTTCGGCTTCTTCTTTAACTACGGCATCACGAAACACTATTCAGGTTCCCAAATCCAATGGCAGCTGCCAACCGCCCTCCAGATCGCGCCTGCGATAATGTGGGGTCTGGGAACATTCTTCACTCCCGAGTCTGCCCGTTTCCTGCTGTCTCGCGGAAAATCAACAGAAGCTCTCAAGGTCCTTTGTGACTTTCGACAACTTCCAGCCGATCATCCCTACGTGCAAGACGAATTCCGAGCAATGGAGGCCCAACTGAATCACGAATTGGAGATTGTATCAGGCGCTTCGATACTTGATTTAGCAAAGGAGACGTGGGCCGACATTCCTAATAGACGACGATTCATCTTAATGTTTCTGGCGCATTTATTTTCCCAATGGAGCGGAGCAAACGCAATGTGAGTATCACGACCCCAAGAACGTACGCCAGTCCTGACCCATGACGAAATCCAGTACTCAATATAGCCCGTCCATTTTTGGATATTTAGGCATTCAAGGCGAGGAAGGTCGTCTTCTTGCTACTGGAGTCTATGCGATTCTCAAATTCGTCTCAGTCTTGGTCTTTTCAGTATTCGTCATCGATTTCATCGGCAGGAGGCGGTCCCTTCTTACTGGAATATGTCTCCAGATCACGACCCTTCTTTTTGTGGGCGTCTATCTCAAAGTGACTAACGGACGAGACCCTGGAGACATTTCTGCAGACCCAGCAGCCAGGCGAGCAAGCGAAGCTGCCATCGCGGCAATCTACTTGCATGCCATCGCGTGGTCTATAGGCTGGTTTTCCATCCCTTACCTCGTCAGTGCAGAAGTCTTTCCGATCCGTATCAGATCTCTATGCGTATCTGTTCTCATGGCTTTTCACTGGGTCTTTTACTTTGGCTGCTCGCGAGCTATGCCATCACTTCTGGCCGCTACCGAGCGCTATGGTGCCTTTATATTTTTTGCCGTCATCTGCTCTGTTTCCCTTGTCTACGTATATCTTGCCATGCCGGAAACCTCTGGAAGATCTCTAGAGTCCATGGAAAGCCTGTTCAATCGACCTTGGTACACCGTGCATAAGGTTGCGTACCCAAAGGCGGAGGATCTCGCAGCTGGTCCGGTCGTCATAGATACGAACGGAAAAAAGGAGGGGGAGAAGGCCAGCGTCACCCATATGTCTTAGCATGTGCTGCGGTGCTGTGGCCCCAGGTTAGATATCCTGTCGACCGTTCCGAATTAGGAGCATGTTTCTGGACGAGCCTTGTAGAGGCAATCGCGGTTTTAGCACTGGTGGATTTCAAAGCGCCGGAACGGTGATAGATTAAATGACTGCAGAGCGTTACGACAAAAAGGTCAATTGAAAAAGAATATCACTGTCAAATTGTACTCTGCTCCCCTCCTTGTCACCAATGAAAGCTTGACTCTCGCTCTCCCTCAGGGCGAAGATACGTTAACGTTGATCGGCCCATCGTCATCATATTTATACCGATCTTCCAGTTCCCAGTATTTCTTGAAACCTACACCCTCACAGACTTCGTCAAAAGACAGAATCATAGGTGGTGCACCGACTGTCATGCTTCTTTTCAAGCTTTCGAGCGTCTCACGCACACTTTTCAACTTCGCAGCGACGAGGGTCCAAGGATATGCCACGGCACAAAACCCGAGTTCAGCCAGATCTTTTGCTGACAAGTTTTCAGTCTTTCCACCTTCGATTACTGCTTCACATTAGAGATCTTGCATCTTGATACAGAGTGTGGTTCACTTACTGTTTGCAAACGTAGGGAGTTGCAGTGTTTCAACGCACCTGCGCATAGCGTCTCGGTCGGGTAGGGCCTCGACGAAGACGGCATCGACTCCAATTCTCTTGAACTCTTTAGCTCGCGTCAATGCCTCATCCCATCCAACGACTAAAGCATCGGTTCGGGCAAGAACGAAAATATCTTTGCCCTGATCACGGGCATCACATGCCGCCTGAATTCGAGCGTACGCCTCGCCTCGTGACACAACGGACTTGCCCTTCGTATGGCCGCAACCTGTTCGTGTCAAAGTGAGAAGAGAGCCACAACAAATGGTGAGCATATCGTACGCTTAGGCCAAGTCTGGTCTTCAATCATCACGCCGGCAGCCCCAGCCTCAGCAAAGCTCTCGACTGTTCGCCTGACGTTCAGCGGACTTCCGTAGCCAGTATCACCATCAGCCATTACTGGCACAGAGACCTGACGCACAGTCTCTCCAATCTTGTCGCACATTTCCGACATGGCAATGTAACCGGTGTCGGGAAGCCCGTAGGCGCTGGCAACCGCATAACCAGCCAAGAAGACCATGGGAAAGCCTGCTTCTTCGACTAGGCGAGATGAGAGACCATCGTAAGTGCACGCATGGGCCAGAATTTTGTCGCAATTGTTGTGTGCTTCTAGCATCATTGTCCGCAAGCGGGAAGCCTGGATTGAGGGTATCTTCCCTCGAACATTCACAAGCGTCGTAGTCAAGTTCTCCGTCTGCCCTGGTTTTCCCTTCTTCTCCACGACCGGAGGGTTGAATTTGAAGGGGTAGGGGAAGCTGTTGACAATTGATTTCGACATGATAAAGGAGATGCGGTTGAGTTGCTTTTCTTGCGTATGTCTTTGGGATTGTAAATTGTTTGCCTTATTAGAAGCCAAGTTCGGTCCATTTTCGAAAACCTACGTGTTCATTTATAACTACCATGAACGATGCGTAAGGCTTTGAGATGTTGTTTGTGTTCCTTGACTATCCGGAACACTAAACGGAAAGGAACGGATAAGCTAGGACGCACGGTTGACTTCAGGGAAACGTGCGACCAGGGTTGGTGTAGATCAATCAGAGAATCTGGGGTAAATGTTCCCCAAGCCTCCACTTGATAAGTCTATTCCCCGCATTCACTTGCACTGAGTGAGGGAGCTGCAGATCGAAGTTGCGATCGGAGAAGTGCGGATATCATACACGTATAAAGCAGTGGCTTTCCTTGTGGAATAGAACATATTTGCATGGCCCATTATTCATTTCTCCATTCACAGGCTTTACAAGAGCCAGTTCGTTTTGTGTACCTTGCATTACTTTACTAAGAACAGTTAGAGTCTGCGTCTGACGGCAAGCGATGGCGCAAGCCGTATCCGAAGATAAATTATCAGTCAAGGCGAAGCAAGTCGAGGATGTTGACATGCCAGCCGTGCAAGATAACGCAGCAATATCGGAGCAGACCGACATTCGCATTCGAAGATCAGTACGTTGACCCAATACACCGCAGACCGAAATAATCTGACTGGAGTTCTTAGTTTGACCGACATCTCCTTCCAATTGTGTGCTGCCTTTACATCCTCTCCTACCTTGACCGTGGCAACATCGGTAACGCAAAAGCCGCCGGAGCCAAATCTGACTTAAAGCTTTCTGATTCTGAGTGGGCTTGGGTTCTAAACTCATTTTATATCGCCTACGTCGTGTTTGAATGGACCAATCTCCTCTGGAAAATACTCCCTGCCAGCAAGTACGTGGCAGTGCTATGCATTCTGTGGGTTGCCCCTCAACATCTTTTCAATCATTGGGGGATATCGCTGATGCCTATGAAACTATTAGCTGGGGCACTGCGGCAATGTCTTCAGGTGCTGCGCATAATCTCGGGTCTCTGGCAGCCTCGCGTGCTTTTCTCGGCCTGTTTGAGGCAGCTTTCGGCGCCGGCGCCCCGTACTTTCTGTCCATGTTTTACAAGCGGCGCGAACTGGGATTCAGAGTATCTCTCTTGATTGGAATGTCGCCCCTGGCAAATTGCTTCGCGTCTGCCCTTGCCTTTGGAATCACACAGATTCGCGGGTCTCTGGAGCCTTGGCGATATCTATTCATTATCGGCAAGTTTCCATCCTAACAATAAGAATACTGACCTAACGAAACCAGAGGGAGCGCCAACGATTGCCTTCGGTGCAGTTACTTGGTTCTATCTAGCCGACTCACCTGGTTCAGCAAATTTCTTATCGGAAGCGGATAAAACCTTCGCTGTAGAGAGACTGCAACAACGAGACAACACAAAAAAGTCTGCCATCAGATGGGACCAAGTGTTTGCAGGAATGACTGATTACCAAAACTACGTGCATACGCTGATTCACTTTTGCAACAACTACTCATTTGCTGCATTGTCAAACTTTCTCCCAACTATTGTCCGCGATATGGGCTATTCGTCTGTCACAGCGCAAGGTCTGACAGCTCCGCCGTATTTGGCAGCCTTTGTTTGTTGTGTTGCAGCAGCTTGGGCTAGCGACCGTTACGGCATGCGTGGATTTATCGTCAGTGGTGGAAGCGTCATGGCTACTGCCGGCTATCTCATTCTGGTTCTAATTCGAGATGAATCAAAAATTGCGGCACGATACACCGGTGTATTCCTCGCCTCTTGTGGAGTTTTCCCCGCCATGTGCATCAATATCACATGGTTGTTGAACAACCAGGGCGGTGACTCAAAAAAGGGCGCAGGCCTCGCAATCCTAGCAACACTTGGGCAATGTTCTTCATTCATGAGCAGTGTGGTCTTTCCGACTTCTGATGGGTCAGTAGCTCTTTCAAGGTTATGTTGCGCATGAGTGTCATAAAGCTAACCTGTTGGACAGCCCGTTCTACACCAAAGGAACAGCAATTGGTTGCGGGTTGACGGGCATAACAGGCATTGCAGCTATAGGGTTGCATTTCGCTTTGGAATATGAGAATCACAAGAGGGACCTTGAATTCGGTCCAGTGGACGAAAACACTGTGATCGATGTGACAGAGGTTGGGGACAAGCATCGTAGCTTTCGTTACCTAACTTGAGAGTACGAGTGGCTGCCTTCGTAGGTGGTTAGGTAGCTGGGCTAGCTGGTGCTGCAAAGGCTGTCTATCTCGTAGATACGATGGCATTAGTGGAAGTTGCGTCATTCCCGATTAGGAGGCCGTTTTCAACAATCAGCACTTGCCAATAAGTCAATCCCCAAGTACTCAAGATTTGACCGCCAAAGCCGAGCTGGCTTATTAAGGTGTTAATTGACACACGAGCATGGATCTCGATATGGATCTTAACGGCAATGGGGCGGTGCGAGCCCCGCAAATGGCTAAGACAACCAATCATACCCTCTAGAATTGTGTTTCTAACCCCGGGAATGGCGCGGGCCATGAACATAGACTAACCGAGTTGTCCACCGCGGGACATTTCTCCACTGCTCTCCGTGGCTTTCCGGCCATCCCACCGGAAAGTCACGGCTCGTACACAAACCCGGCACGATCTCGGTGCAATCAGTCTTGCCGTCACTTTCCATCCCCGGATTCTCGCTTTCATCGACATCACACCCAACAAGCAAGATCCATCTCCATCATTGACGGCTCATTACAGGCTATGGCATCCGTCCCTCCCGCCGAGAACGAAAGGCCGATTCGAAACTTCCGCCGTACTTACAAGGCGTGCAAACTTTGCCGCAGGAAGAAGATTCGATGCATCACTGACGGGCCTGGGAAATCTTGTTTGCGATGCAAAAGAGAACTAAGGGAATGCGTCTTTCCTGCGGAGAGGTCCCATTCCAGTCGTGCCGATGATGAAATTCGGATTCCATGTGAACTTGGATCGAGCACAATGAAATACAGAGGTAATCTTTTTTTTTTCTGGCATTGTCGAACATCATGAGAACCACACTGATGCTATATGAAGAATTACCCCATTCCGCCCACCTCAACATGAAGGATGGCGGTTCGCAAGCTGCCTCAGAAGTGGTCAGTGAACCAGCTGTCAATGGTGTCGCCAGCGGCAACTGGCCTGCACCAGACGCCAATACAACGTCGCCAGCAGATGGAGAGTCGGACAATTCCCAGTCAATGTTTGAAGCTCTTCGACCTGACGCAGTTGGACTTGACAATGATAACGAGCAAAGAGAAGACGATGTTACTGGAGATTTGAACGGAACATTGATGAGAACGCTTGTCTCCAATGGGAACGATGCGCTGAAGTTACTATTTCAAGCTGCTCTTGAAAATAGGAATGGGGACTCGCCGGCCGAACTTTCCACTATTAATACAGCCCCGCAGACAGTGATCGATCTATCCACCCCGAAAAAAGCACCTTCTGTAGCAGCAAAGGCTAATCAACTTCCCGTGCCATCTTCCAAGACGCTCAGAATGTGGAATGCATTCCGTTTTACGAAAATGGGATGGTTTTCATCTGAAGAAGCGGTTACTTACATGGACCTGTAAGGCCCCTATGACATGATTTGGCAGCACGAACTGATCATGGTGGAGATTCTTCAAACATTTGGCGCCACTGTCACTAGTCTCGAGAAACTTCAACCCGAGCCATGACGCGCACTTTAACCTAATTACTCAGGAGCCACTTCTTTGCTGCGTGATACTCTTGATTTCTTCAAGATACCATGTGCTTCCAGGAACAGGCGGAATTGCAAGAAGCACTTTGATCCACCAAAGACTATGGGAGCATTGCCAACACCTCATCCTGAGGATAATATTCGGCCAGGAAAAAAGATCAAAGGCTAAGACTCGTACAATAGGCTCCATTGAGGCATTGCTTCTGATGGTAGAGTGGCACTCACGAGCTATACACTTTCCACCAGGTGCCGATGGATGGGACTCGTCATTGCTGCTGACCGAAGACGACCCGAGAGACACTGAACACAGTAACCGAGCGGACAAAACGGACGAGATCAATGTAAAATGGTTCCGAGATATTGTTGCTCCCGCTAAAACATCAGACCGCATGTCCTGGATGCTTCTTGGTTGCGCGCAGTCCCTGTCTCTAGAGTTAGGGTTATTCAACATGAGCGAGCCGGAACACGCTACTACAACCCCCACAGATTTTGGGCTACGCCCGGAGTCTCTCTGCCAACTGCTTTACATTCTGGTAGAACAACACTCAAACCGACTCGGCTGCGCTTCGATGATACCGGCGGAATATACCCCCGTGCTCTCTCAACAACATCGTCTTGGCGACGATTCCAGCATTTTGTCGTCTTGGCTAGATTTGACAAATATATCGCGAACAGTGAATGACATGTTGTTTCCATCACCAATGGGAACAAGAGAACTACTCAGGAATGGTCGCTATACAACGATCGTGCGTCGCTTCAGGCATCAACTCCGTACTTGGAAGTATACATACATAGAACCAGCTAGTAAGTTCGCTGTGCCACTCTTCAGTTCAACCCTACCTGGCCTGACCATTTGAAACTCAGTTCTTCCAGCACACTATCAAGAAGAGCTCTTGATTGAGTACAATTACACACGCATCTTCATGAATTCTCTGGGGATCCAAGGGGTCATCGACCGTGCATTAGGCGGCGTTAGGCCGGCATCAGCACAGGCAAACGCAGCCATTTTAAATATGCCTGTCAATGCTGTCGAATCGGAGTTCATTAAAGAAGTCATTGATGGTTCATGCGAAATCCTTACCTCTATGAACAGGTTTTATGAATCTGGAACGCTTCGGTTTTGCCCTGTGCGCATATTTTTGCGTGTCATCACTGCTTCAATACTTTTACTGAAGGCACTTAGCTTGGGGACAAGGGTAACAGAACTGCAGGCATCACTAGTCGTTCTGGAAACGAGCATAAGTGTCTTTAAGACTGGTACGTTGGACGATATGCATATTGCCTTGAGGTATGGATCGCTTCTAGAGGCATACGTCATAAGGTTTCGTCAAGGAATGGCCCCCTGTACCAATCCAAGTTACTTTTCATCATTTCCATCATTTGTAGAGTGGAACGATGGCGAGGTGGGAGCCCTCAGTGGTACAACAACCAACGATCTTTGCTTCCCATCAGGGGACTGGCTTTCTCTGCCACTGGACAGGAGTCTAGCTCCTTTCGGACTATGGGGAAGCTCGTCTGATATCCTTGACCCAGAGGATCGCGCCTGGGATATACTTTGGAGCCTGCCAAGTGTTCCTTAGCTTCCCATTTCTCTATTCCTCTACCTTTCGACATCAAGACACCGTAATACATCTGAGTCAATTCGTACAGGTCTGCACAGACTTACGTGCAACTTGACAATCGCGAAGTCTCTTGTAGTGAGCTATCCTGGCCCTTGAATGATTCCCCGTGAGAGTCATACGACAGTCAACAGGTTGCGCCTTCAGGCGGCAAACTGCGAAGATGAAAAGTTAGAAGGAAAGAAAGAGCCTCTTGTAGTGCAGATTTCATATGCTTTTTTATCTGCAATACCACACGGTGTCTCAGATGCAGATCAGATGAAAAATGTTATGGCCGTCAAAGTCGGACGTAGTCCAAGCCTCAAAAGGCCTCAGCTTTCCCGCCTGCAGTGCATCGTCTGGCGCTAGGTGTCGGATGATCCATTTGGTGCCAGGAGAATTATTCGCGGAGCGTCGGAGAAACTTTCAATCCCGAAACCCATATATGCTCCATTTCGGACAATCGCACGTACAGAACCGACCGACATTCATTTTCGCGACCTTGAATGGAGTACCTTTTACCTTGTCAAGCATCAATCCTGCCTCATCGCTCTGTTGAATTGACGTAAGCACAACTCTCGAGCAAACGACTGACGACAAGTACTACGGATATGGCTTCATTCCTATCGGGGCCTTCGGAATCGGAGTCGTTTTCCCCCGACGACCACCGAACGAACACAGGCATACGCCTGATTGCATGTGTGACTTGTCAAAGACGAAAAATCAAATGCAACCGAGATCTTCCATGCAACAATTGCATCAAAGTATGGATGAGTAACGATGCAGCAACTCGTCTCAGAATAAAGATACGCATAAACTAAATATTGCAGTCCTCCACTCCGTGTGTCCCAAGGACACCAGCTCCTGCTCGAGGGAGGAGACCGTACAATCAAGCTCTCAAAGCCCGCTTAGCACGATGTGAAGAGCTTTTGAACAATTCTAATAATCGTCGTAATGATTCTGGAAGAGAAAACGGCACGCCTCAAAGTGCACACTCCCACACTCCGACGGAGCCATCACATGTATCCAAATGGACTACGGATGGAAAGTTGGTAGAGAATCCAAATGGAAAAGTCACATTCATGGATAACTACCTGATAGGTATGGTGAATGATGAGGTAAGAAGGTCTCGGTTGACATCAAGGTGCATGATTACTGAAGTCGATGAAATAGCTGCGAGCGATGCATGAGTTGATAAACTTGGACGAAAAAAGAGTGCAACAACGCCCTGTATCCCAAGCCCTAAATGTCAAACTCTGATCTCATTCTTGACGGAGAAAACATTAGCACAAGCACAGCACATGCTTGGCCAAGTCCGGCCGTTGTGTTCAAGCTTTGGCAGACCTTTCTAGACCGTGTGAATCCATTCACAAAGGTGATTCATGTGCCAAGCCTTCAGCCTTTTGTCGTCGAGGCCACCAACGGCCCTCGTGGTCTATCATCCAACATCATGTCGCTTATGCTTTCCATCTTCCTGATGGCAGTAATTTCAATGACTGAGGACGAATGCGACAAGTCTTTGGGAATATCCAAAGAATCAGCCACAGTGACCTTTTCTGGAGCCACACAGCAAGCTCTTCGACGTCTGGACTTCATGCGAACAGACGATTTGGTAGTGTTGCAAACGCTTTGCCTGTACATGGTATGCTCCGTCCTGCACTTAGATTTCGTTCGTTGACCGGTGGAGCAGTACTCTTTGCAGGCGAAAGACGATCGCCATAGTTCATGGGTTCTAAGTGGCACTGTCATTCGGATCGCTCAGAAAATGGGTCTTCATCGAGATGGGCGCGCTCTTGGTCTTGGGCCCTTTGAAACCGAGATGCGGCGAAGAATATGGTGGCAACTTGTGTCACATGATTCGAAGTTTGCGCTTTTCTCTGGCTTTGGGCATTCCTTGCTTCCGCGAGATTGGGATGTTCAAGAGCCAAGTAACTTGAATGATGCCGATATCTTCCCGACAGCAACTCTGCCGACTTTGGATCGCGATGGCCCATCAGAGATGGTGATTTGCTTGATCAGAAATAAGTTGACGAAGTTTCTTGTGGACACGCCGGGCCTCGAGCCCGTCGAAATGGCCGCGGAGCTCAACAGTCTGGCTGTTCATCCCCCTCTGTTCGTCAATTCGAGGAATCAGCAAATGGGCTACTATCTTACCCAGTTCGATATTCTTGAAGAAGGCTTGCAACATATTCTGGAGTATCGATGTAATACACACGCGGGGCAAGCTCATGTTCTTGCTCAAGCTTTAGGAGCAGGACTCATTGTGCAGAAATGCCAGTTGATGAGGGGGCTTAACGACAGATCCAGACCAGAAGCCGAGGGTGTTCATGAGGCGGAGGGTGCATTCTTGGGGGCTGCCGCATTCCTGGAGCATATCGCATCTCTATATGAGCACTCTCAGGGCAATGGGTTTAGTTGGTTCGCGGATTTTAACTTCCAGTACGACATCCTGCTCTACGTGGTTGTACTTCTCGGGCAGAGAGTTGATCACTATATGGGGGACCGAGCATGGGAAAACATTGCGACTATTTACCGATTTCGCCCTGGACTTTTGGAGGCCTCCGAAAGATCTTGCTTAGTTCTCGGCCAGGCTGTGCTGACGGCGTGGGCGAAAAGACGAGATTTTCACTCCACCTCCGGGTTATCTTGCGAAGACCCCGAGAACATCGTTGAGCTGCGAGCACAAACTCGATTGAATGATAACATCGGAGATGAGGACTTCCCATTCATCGTTACAAACTCTGAAATCCCAGCGCCCTCTGAATCTTAGGAATGGGCGTACCCGCTGAGGGTTGACAACGGGGTTGCTACTAATATTGAAGACGGGGAGCTGCCGTTTATGGACACAATCACCTCGAATTGGGCATTCTTAACTCCCATAACTGAGCCTCAAAGCAGATCACACGGCAAAGACCTAGAGCCTGCAAATTCGCCATAATATTAGTAAAGAGCACAGATTCCTACGAAGTGTGATGCAATTTATTTTCAAATGCTCCAAGCGATAGCTCTCATAACAGCTTCGTGATCCTTGTCTAGTCCCGCGGGAAACCTATCAGCCGATAGGTGATACCTGCGAATCACCCCCTTCCTTGAGAAGGCTTGTTTGCAGCTAATTGATCGACAAGAAAGCGTCCTATTTAGATCCCTAAGCTAAACCTTTGTTTCCACAAACAGCTGTCTGTCTACTGTCTTGCTTGTCGGGGAGTCTTCTCATTCGGGGAGTTCAATTTCAACCCGTGATCCCGGCTCGGTGTCTTCAAATTTATTGTCCGCTCCGATCCTCCATTCGGATGACGGGAACTCCGACTGAAGAAGTTCTCTCATCTCAACACGCCTTAGATCACTGAAAACCTCTGCACAACTCACGCTCTTCATCCACATAAAGACCTCCATGACTCACAGATTCCCCAAAGGCACGTCACACATCTTACTCAAACGAGAAACCAGCATTCAACAAAATCTTTTTCCAGGAGCATGATGCCATTAGACACAAACAACGTTGGAGGGAGTGCGTGGCAAACTCTTACAAGCTCCCTCCATCACAACGTGTTTCAACTGCCTTCAAGAGAAATAGTCATTTTCATCACCTTTTTGGTACGTGCCTGCTGAGACATATCGCTATAATACTTGCTCACGGCAGTCTTCTGTAATGCAGCTTGTAGGACTGGGCATGTTATATGCCACCTACAACGCGGTTTTCCACCCACTTGCACATTTCCCGGGGCCCAAATACGCTGCTTGCTCCGACATACCGTTCATGGCAATACAGACAAGTGGAGACATGGTTCCGTGGCTCGTTTCTCTGCACAACACATATGGGAGCGTGGTTCGCGTGGGAGCTACCAGGTTGAGCTTTATCGATGGCCAGGCGTGGAAAGACATATACTCCCATAAGACTGGTGGGAAGAGGAGCTTTCCAAAAGACAGACTTGTGTACGGACCGGATCCAAATGGACACCGAAATCTATTGACAACAATACCCGACGCGGAGCACAGTCAGCTTCGAAAAGTGTTCTCGCCTGCATTTTCCGAAAGAAGCCTTCAAGCGCAAAGCCCGCTCATCTCGAAGTATGTCGACCAGCTAATTGAGAGTATCTTGAGAGACATCAAAACGAACCCACAAACGATGTTCGATATGGTCAAGTTGTACAATCTCACAACATTCGACATCATGGCCGAGTTGGCCTTCGGCGAACCACTTGGGCTTTTAGCTAGCTCGAGCTATTCGGAATGGGTCGGTAACATCTTTGGAAATCTCAAGGCCAACGCGATTGCCCAGATTGGCCGTGAATGGCCATGGCTCGGTAATTTGGTGCAAATGGTTACACCTCACCACCTCAAGAAAGCCTCGGAGCTGCACTTCGCACACGCTATTGAACGTGTGGATCGCCGCATCAAAACAACAAAGGAGGATGCAGACATTTGGAACTTGGTTCTGAGCCAACCTGGCAGCAGACAGATCACCAAAGGCGACATGTATACAAACTCGTCTTTGTTCATGGTGGCGGGATCCGAGACTACAGCAACCATCCTAAGCGGCGTCACATATTTACTTCTCAAGAATCCGGACAAGCTTGCTCGTCTAGTTACAGAGATTCGGCAGGTTGAGTCAGAGAAAGAGTTGACGATTCAGAGGCTTTCCAAAATGACCTATCTGACAGCCGTACTTAATGAGGCACTCAGGTGGTATCCACCTGTACCAGTCGGGGTTTGGCGGGAGGTTCCCGAAGGCGGTGGCACCGTTGCTGGACATTGGGTCCCGGCCAGGGTGAGCAGAACACAACCTTGCTTCCGTGTTTATCACGCTAATTAAAACTTGCAGACTCGTGTGTCTGTGCCTCAATTTGCCGCCAATCACTCCTCGCGTAATTTCCAAGACCCTGGGGCTTTCGTTCCAGAGAGATGGCTGCCTGGACCAGAGTTTGAGCCAAACGCCAAAGATGTCGTGCAGCCCTTTTCCCTTGGGCCCCGGAACTGCATCGGAATGAAGTAAGTCCCTTTCAGTTAACAGCTATGTACAAGTCTCGCTGCTCAATCAAAGTATTAATACATGATAGTCTGGCTTGGCATGAAATGCGGTACATCTTGGCGAGGACATTGTGACATTTTAATCTATCTCTTTGTGCCGAAAGCACGAATTGGACGAAGCAGAAGACGTACATTCTCTGGGAGAAGCTGCCTCTCATGGTTTTGATGGAGCCAATTCGGTAGAGAGCTATTCTGTTGGCGTTGAATCAAACATGCGAAGTTGCATGCAGCCTGTCGGAACGCCTATTCAAAGATTACGCCTGCCGGCGGTGTTGCCTTCATCACGCGATAGTCGTCCAGCAAGTTACAGTTCACACGCAACGCCAAGTAGTTTGCTGGGTAGTTGAACATGGCAAACGAGATAAGAAAGCAATTGCGTCCTAAGTTCCTCCGTGAGGAGTTTCCCAGAGTCTGGTGCTTCTGAAAGCAGGTGCTAAATGAATTGCCTTTGAGTATACTGCATCAAGATAAAGTGACCAGATTGGACTGACGGCATCGCCACCCAAGCACCACAACCCAGTCAAAACATCAACGTATGCAGATTATGCTCCACCGGGATTTCAATCAGCCTGATCAATGGTGGATAATTTTCACGGGATTCAATCAACCTAGGACGGGTTTGAGCAAAGGATGTGATGCAAAAAGTGGGAAGTCACTAGGATAGGTGACGAAATGCAAATCTTATGCTAAGACTTTCGAAAAGCTTCAGGTGTCATTAACGTACAATGAATTCAAGGTAATATGTGTTCGTTACGTTCGAATACCGATTATTAATTCGTTTTGAATTCCGCGTTTCCAAAATCATTGGCTTCTATTTACTGTGCGCGTTCATCAGGACCTAAGCTGAGTCAGACTCAGACTTGTTGCCGTTAGCAACCTCCTTGTGCGTAGCCTCGCCCTTGGCGTCTGTGCGGAACTGCACCTCCTCTTCTCTCAACTGAGCCATCAACGTCTCGTTTGCCTTCCATACAGGCTTGATCTCGAAGAGGCGGTCAACCTTCTCAAGCGGAACGCCACTGGTCTCTGGAATAAGGAAAAAGGCGAAGAAAAATGCCAAGAAGGAGAGCGAGGCGAAGAAGAAGTACACGCCATAGCCCATAGCCGCAAACATCTGCTCCGTGAACCTCGATACGAGAAAGTTGAACAGCCAATTGCTTGCCGTGGTGGCGCCGCCTGCCAAAGAACGAAAGTTGGGGTCGAAGAATTCCTGTATAGAATGTTAGCCAATGGTTAAGAGACTCTGGAAGGGTTGACTCACGGAATTGATGACCCAAGGGGTGCCGTTCCATGTCGGGGTATAGACTGCAGTCCAGAGGTAGAAGAAGACGATAGCAGCATAGCCACTGCCGGTCAAGTGATCCTGAGGGTTCTTCGTCGGCTCGACGACGCAGACATACGCGCCGATGACCCACATGCAGATGGAGCCGGTGATGGCACCAATCAGTAGAAGCTTACGTCTTCCAAGCTGATCAACCAGGAACAACAGCCAGACGAAGGTCATGACAGCCTTGATGACACCGAAAATGCCCGTCATCAAGTTCACAGTATTCGAATCAATGCCAATGCTCTGGCGAACGACAGTCAGCAACAACGCAACCTCCCAGGAAATGGCCAAGAGACAAGACTTACTGAGAAGATGGTGGGAGAATAGTAGTTGATCGCATTGATCCCGGATCCGTTCTGCCAGAAGAAGAGCATACAACCCAAAAACAGTCTCCACTGAAGGTTAGGGCGTTGACCAAGTGCCTGGAAAGGCTGCCAGAAGCCAAGTCCCACAGTGGACTTCTGAAGCTCATAGATCTTGTCAATAGCAGCAATCTCCTCCTGGATGTAGATGTCGTTCGGTTCCAATTGTCGAATCCAGCAGAGGTTGTCCATCGCCTGCTTGCGATAGTCCTTGAGAAAGAGCCATCTCGGGGACTCTCGAATCCAGCAAGAGCCAATCAACAGCAGACCGGATGGAATAAGTTGAACGGCGAAGGGTATGATCCATTGAGTTCGGCCAGGGGGGACGTGGGCTTCGACACCGAACTACGCCATGTGTTAGGGGGGCATTTTCCCATATGAAGTTTTCGTTCGTTACTTACGTTGATCCAAAACCCTACAAGACCACCAATCTGCCACCCAAGTTCGTAAAGACCAACGAGACGACCACGGATAGCAGGAGGCGACAATTCGGAGATGTAAATAGGGATGATGTTCTGCGAAGTTTATCGTCAACGACTGGACATTCATACTGAGCGGTATCTGAGGCGGACTCACCGACGCGACGCCAGTTCCAAGTCCAGAAAAAACGCGTCCAGCGTACAAGATTCCCAAGCCAGTGTTACCAGTAGCACCGCAGGTAAGTCCAGCACCGAGCGAAAACGTGGTGGCGCCAATCGCTAAGCACCACTTGCGACCGATAAAGTAGCTGAGACAGTATGTGAGGAGGGCTCCAAAGAAAGCACCTGCAACAAACAGAGAAACGATGTTCTCGCTGATAAGGTTTCTTGCCGCGCTGGAGATGTCTTTGAGTCCGAACTCGTCCTTGAAAGAGTCGAGAGCTACCGTTGTTCCGATAAATGCGCTGGTGTATCCGATCATGCAAGATCCACAGGACGCGATGATGGCGAGCACATAGATGCGCCAGTTGTAAACCGACGGCGGCGTTGGCCGCTCTTCAACAACGGTGAGGATACCCATAGCAGCGACACAAAAGCTGAATGGAATGTCAAGCGACGGAAATGGGTGATGGTCGAGAAATGGGCTTCTCGAGGATGAGGAGGGAAGGAAAATGTGAACAGGTCGAGGCTCCGGTCATCACTAAGTATTTTCTCTCAGGTGGAGCAACCCCATAGCTCGAATCTTCATTGCCCCATAGTCTGGAGCAACCACTTCGGGGTTTGCGGAGTGGAGGACTGGGGAGCATGAGGCATATTGTTGACAATGCAGCAAGACAGATTGGGCAGATCAGATTCTGGAGGCCGCAGTCTGCAAGACTATTGCAGTCCATGAAAGATGGTCGTCGTCATATCCGGCACTCTGCATTCAGGGCGTCCCCTTGAAAAAGTTGAGGCTCCACCGAGCCTCAAATGGGGCGGCTACACTGGCCGGGGATGCGTTTTTCCCCGTGGAGCATCCGCTTCATGATTTTCCCCATGGAGAGAGACAAACTTGCAGCCCGGGGCAGCGAATAAGAATCAGTATATATCTCACACGTACATCCCCTCTGCTCCGGTCCAGGCATTGACGTTTGGAGATTGACAGATTGCCATTAGTTGATGGATTCACGCACCCTTCGGCCATCTACCGACAGATGGAGATCCATAATGGCCCGTGCTGCAGTGGCTCCGATCCCGGCCAGCCGAAGGCAAGGCGAGAGGGTGATAATTATTAACCCGCCCGCCACCCAAGTCGTCCGAAAGAGCCGCCGTTCGTCAATGCGGCGGCGGAGCTCCTGCTTGGGAACGGCAATAGACTCTTCCGACTCGTTGGGGTGATAAAGCACCAATCTTGCGCCTGGCCAGTGCTTATCTGCGAGCTCGCCCCCGTGCTGTGTCGGTGGAAATACGCTCGCCCGTTCGTTTCATTCTTGCCTTGATTCGCCGCACAATCGCTTGTTCTTTTATTGTTCACGCCAAGAGGATCGTCGCTCCAGCGACTTCTGGATATACGATATTCCCAACATCTTGGCTCAAATCCCTCAAGAAGGGTTGCAGTTCACGGATTGCGCGGGCAGGATCACTCGGAGGCGAAGCCCTCCCGACTGGCTGCCAATCGTTGGGATCGAAGGGCCTTTTTCCCACATGTCTCTACCTTCAATTGCCGAACCGATTGAGCATCCGGATTTCTCTTAAGATAGGTTACTTGCCTGGCTGAAATAGCGTGAAGCAGTCTCAGGCTGGCCACTGCTCTGAAATATCCGCGCATCTCACGCGGAATTTTCCTACACTTGAGGCTCCTTCAATCAAAACGCTCAAGGTCTGTAATTTGCGAAGGTTTTCTTGGCCTTCGGAAAGCCGTAGGGCTTCCAATAATGTTGCAAGCATCTTCTAGGGCGATCCTGAATGCGGAAGGTGCTTTTATCTCAAATTGGTCCCGCTGATTTGCCAAGACCGTTAGAGTGCGTGCATAAGCCGGATCCTCCCGCTTCTTGTCCTGTGAACTAGCCAAGCCCTCTAACGACGTCCTCTTTTGCAAGCCGCATACAAGTCAGCAATCCAAAGCCCAAACGTCAGGCAGAGCTGCACTTCTTTAGTGAGGGTATCATAATAATACCTATCGCATCGCACCTGCTGAATGCTATGCCTAGCTGGTCTAGACCTAGACGCGCTCTAAAAACCTATTAGCGCGCGCCCACGGGACCGGTTTTGGGGGGGGGGGGGGGGGTTAGGGCTAGGAACCAGGTAGCTAGGTAGGTAGGTAGGCTAGTAGTAAGTAGTAGGTAGTAGTAGCAGCAAGTAGGTAGGTAGGAGCAGTGGTCTATAGCAGTCCTTCATTATTCATCATCTCTCAATGCGAGCAGAAGCCCCGCGGGGCTTTTTTATATTTTCATAGACAGACCGATCTCCCAGTTTTCAGCCGGAAGTCGCGCGCGCCTAGTCAACAAGCCCCGCGGGGCTTCTCTTCCCCTCTACGACCCCACCCATAAGCTAGACGGACGGCCTCTATAGTCTATCAATCAAGAAGACCTCAGGAGCCTTCTATAGTTCTATGAGCCTATTGAGAAGCAGCTTCAGACCTGTATAATTAGTGTATAGAGAAGCCCCGCGGGGCTTATGCATCTTTAGCGAGCTTGTTAGCGAGCTGGATGGGTCTCATAGTAAAGATCCTTAAGAAGCCCCGCGGGGCTTGTTGTGATGATCAACAGAAATCACCCTATGGTTAGCGGAAATCACCGTATAGTATGGTGTAGCTCACTAGTAGCTCAGTAAGCCCTGCGGGGCTTCTCTGTCTCTGTATGAGTTTGTCAGAAAGCTAATGCAGCTCTGTGGTTATCGTTTATAGTAAGCCCCAGGGGGCTTCCTATGATGATTAAAACAGCTTACGTTATAGCATAGAATAAGAAGCCCCGCGGGGCTTCTTCGTCTCTCTATGAGGAGGAGTATGCCGGTAGGCCGAAGGAACCCAAGGTTTGTCGAGAAGCCGCGCCGAGCTTTTCAGTTTTCGTAGACTTAACGGTTCGCAGAAGGACTTATTAAGCCAGTCAAGAGCCCCTGAAAGGCCTTTTCTCTCTGTAATCGGTCTTCAGCACGCTCAGCAGATGTTGGACATGCTCCTCATCATAAGCCCCGCGGGGCGTTCTCCAGTAAGCTCGCCAGCGGGCTGGGCAGATTTCATAATCAACATCTTTAGGAAGCCCCGCGGGGCTTCCTGTATTGTTCAGGCAGCAGAAATTGCCTCACACAAAAGCTTAGGAAGCCCCGCGGGGCTTTCTATCCTTCCGATCATGCGTCAGCAGCAGCAACCAATATACCTCTACAGCAGATGGAGAAGACCCGCTATGCTTTTCTCCAGTATAGAAATCCTTTCCCAAGCAAACGACTAAAGACGAAGGACCGCAGAACTTGCTGGACAGGCCTGATCACTTCGCAATAGTTGTGTTGTAGCAGGAGTGGCAGCTAAATGGGAGGAAAGTAGTCCATAGGAGAAACTAGCATGCCAATGAATGTAGGTAAATACACGTAGGATCAGAAAGGCAGAAAAAGCACAAGACTGAGGGGCAGTATGACAAGGAAAGGAAAAAGGAGAACATGAATCCGTCCGATCCACACACGTGTCCTCGACTCGACAGCCGCTTACGATGAATTCCAAAGACGTACTGAATGACGTAAGCAAGGGGGCTTTGGAATGCAAATGATGGGGCAAACGGAGCTAGCTAGCAGGCGCTGAGCGTGTTACCCCCTCGACGAGAAGGAGGGGGCTTTTCGTCAGTTGACGAGCGACGTCGGCGCCCACGCCTGAGTCTGAAGACCCCGAATGGGCACTGTCGGGACCACGACCTGTAAAGTGGTTGATGTAGTACGGATAGTATCTCCAGTGCGTGTCTCGCCGTGGGGAAGATGGGTCAAAGGGCGTTCGAAGCAGTCAGGGAAGAGGCGACAAGGAGACACAGATAGCCCTGTGCCCCGCAGCTACTGGCAGGACAGCAAGAGCGTTATATAGGATGTGAGGCGTAGCCGGAAACAAATGGCTGGGTACCCCTTGTCAGGCTTCTGCCGTTGTCTCATCTATCCCTTCTTTACATTACCTAAGCCCTCCGATTATGTAACCACTGTCGGGCATGTATCGGTGTATGCTACGCGGCTTAATGCTATCGGAGCATGAGCGAGGTCTACAGGTGAAATGCGGTGATACGGCCGCCAGATGTGGGAAAGAGATAATAAAAGACCTATAGACATACTTCCCTACCTGTCTACATTAGTATTAGAACAATAAAGTGGGAATATGCGCAGCCGAGAGGCGGCAGTAGATTTTCTGCCTGTCTTTCTTCACATCTTCATTACGAAACATGATTGATGCATATACTGCTACTGGCTACCTAAGGGTTCAACAAGCCAACGTTATGGAAACGTCTATACGCCGCCACGCGTCACAGATGCTAAGTATAAGACAGCCGAACACTTAGGAACTAAGGAACACATCGGACATATCTAGAACCACTGTGCGTGTAACAGCAGCTACAATCATATATATAACACCCAAGATTCGAACGTATATCTATAAAAGTCCCTTTGAAATGCTTCCGTCCAGCAGGACCAAGCTCAGTATCATTACCATCGCATAACGAACTCACCACACCCGCATAGCACTTGAGGTAGGCAGAGGCACGGCATTATGCGTTATCGCTAATCACAGCATAGCATCAAGGGATAATACCCGACATATACGGCCAGTCAAAACCAGCGAGGATGACGAACGGCACTCCACGTAGACGAGAAGACTGTGATCCCTCGTGAACAGAGGTAGAGCAGCGGGGAGCAGCTGTATGTTATGTTATAGGAGATCTGCAGGCCAGGCCGGCCTTGAGTATGTTGGTAAGAAGATGGAGCTGCGATCAATCAGAAGACCGGAAGGTGCCGAGACATCAGTGCCAGCGAGCCAGCGGTGCCCTCAGAAGCCCCCCGGGGCTTAGTCGACACGCTTATGTCAGTAGCATAACTCATAAGGGAGTAGCAACGGAGAAACAGTAGGGTTGCTTTCACAGGTGACAGCGTTCGCTACGACGGGGGAATCAACATCCCCTACCGCCCTCATCATAATAAAGATGGAGAAACCTTGAAGAATGTAGAGAAGGTGTACGTGGCTAGTGTGGTGGTCTTTTGACGTGACCGAAACCAAAAGGGGTAATAGCCCAGACATCGAGATTACGTCGAGACAGCAGGGGCATAGCTCTAGTAGTAGTGTACGCGCACAACAGAACAGGTGGGCGCATTAGAAAGGCATGTGTACAGGCACACGGCTTCAAGACGAAAAGTAGGTGTGAAACAGGTGGGGTTATATAGGAATGTGAGAGATGTGGCAGCTCCTCTCTCTGACAAGGCATGCAAGGGAGGTTTAGGAAAGGTCCAGATGAGAACGACAGTACAACTGCCTACGACATGTTCGACGCCCTTGGAATGCGAGAGTCGACCATCGGGACCGAGCGACATGAAAACAGCCCCAGAACGTGAAAACTCAATTAGCCGCGCTCTGCGTGCTTCTCTCTCCTCACTTGCTCATTTACAGTTGCCGACAAAGGAAAAGTAACAAAACGAAAAACACCGAGCTTAGACATGGCCAGCACAGCGGCCGGGACGAAACGGAAAGTCGGCGGCGAAGACGGCGGTGCGGCGCTGTCGGCCCCGAAACGCCGCTTGAAGAAGCATGTGCCCTTCCGAGAAAGCGAGTCGATCTGGGAGCGCGCGAAGCCCTACCTGTTAGCTGTCGGTAAGCTGCACGTCGATGTACTGGATACAACATGGAGCACCGGCAGGAACCGCCACGTCGAGCCGGGCCACGTTCGGGAGCTGACGGAGGTCTTCATGAAGGGCGGCCTTGAACGTGGGGCTCCGGAGTCTGACGCCTAGTGGACGTGTGAGCTATACGACAAAGGTGAGCCTCGTTCCGCCTCGACATCAGCAGGAACGCAAGAGCGTTGAGAACCCCACAGATCATCTCCCCGCAGACCTCAACATCAAACTGCGCGTCAACCGCAGAGACCCAAGCCTTCCGGACAATCATGGGCAGATCTGGAACCATCTGGTGTCAATCGCGTCAGTCGCAGCGGGTTCTATCACAGGTAGCCAAGTGACCGTTGACTATAGGCTTGTCGAGGCTCTCCGTCTCGGCAGCGAGAAGAGTTTTCCGACACGCCGGCTCGTTACGCTTTGGAACCACGAAGGGTGGAGGGAAATCACGACGCGCTGGTGCCAGACCCGTCTGGGGCTTGAGACCTTCAACATCTCCACCTTCGAGTCGATGGCCGGCCTTCGGATTGACGAATACTGGTTTGCGACGATGAGGACCGTGCTGGCCACGCTCGAGGCCCTGCCCCTCGACGAGACGCAGGACCTCGGACTGGAAGATTGGAGTCGTCTGGCATCTGGGCTACAAGGTGGCAAGGAGACCAGCGGGACGGCCGCAGCCAGGACGTCGACCACACAGGATGTGGTCGAAGCTGTCTTCTTCACCGGCAATGGCCACCGCCGCGTGGCCGGCCTCCTGGACACCTTGGACGATGCTATGTACAGGGGGGTTTGTCGGGCCGTCTGGAACGGGACGGATCTTCGCTTCGCAGACTTGAAGCGGTTCCTCCGCAACAGGAGGCCGGATATGGAGGCCGCCGTCCGAGCGCTGCAGCATGTCATCGGTTGGGTAGACCGCGCAAGCGCAGTCGAACTCGAAAGTGTGAATCCCAAGTTGGAGAACAAGCCGCAGCTGCTAGAGCATCTGCAAGACGCCCTCGACAGCCTCAGCTCGTCCAGGGGGGATCCGAGCGGCTTCTCCGCAAACACAGCACCGCGTCTGCAGCAGCAAGTCCTAGACTTTGCCCGATGCGACGCCAAAGCCTTCCGGACACCAGAGGCACAGTCCCTCCTCGCCAGCTCGATCACCCACGTTGACGACCTAACGTACGGGAATCGGTTCGAGAACGCGTCATGGGCACGTCTCCTACGAGTTGTCCGGCATACTGTTGACCCTCAAGATGGGACGCACATCCTCCGGCCTGCATGGGAAACGGTGAAGACCAACGAGGCGTGCCTCCGCGAGGCGCAGGTGTCAACGCTTGTGTCTGCTTTCTGCTCTGATCTCATCCGGCTGAGCGATCAGCCAATACGAAAGAAGGATACTATGCTTCTCGCCCTCCAGCGGCGGATCGAAAAGGTCCTAGCAGTATCCGCAAGCGAGCTGCAAGTAATCGGTCTAGCCAGCGTAGTCTCATCAAACAAGCCAGCTCAGCATCGTCCCGCTAACAGCGATGACGAAAACGACAGAGGGGACGACAACGACGACGACGACGACGACGACGATAGCTGCGGGCTGCAAATAATCAGATGCCCTCAGGGCGTTAAGTGATGATGAGAAGTGCTAACCGTGGAAACAAGAAGCCACAACCCAGCACAGCAGTAGAGTAGCGTCAGCACCCCCAAGATGTCCGTCCACTCGTCACCGAACGAGGAACTTCACGATGACCTTAACGAGGATGCAACATTCACGCATGGCGATATGTGGCGGAGCGAAGACGAAGACAACGAAGGGGAGGATGGGGGCGCGAGAGGTGTAAGCAGGGAGACGCAGCGGTGGGCGATTGATCACTCCACCGGTCACCATCGCCTCCAAGGTGAGCATGTCGTAACCGGGACGCCGAACGTGACAATCAGGTACATAGCTGACTCGTGCTCGATACGCGAGCATCGTCGAAACAGCGGCCCGCTTCATTCAGAGAGTGCTAGCGAAAGACTTCGAGTCCACAGACGCGCTCAAGATGATGCAGGAGAAGCACACCATCGACTTCGGGTCGCGCAGGGCGGGGTGCACCCAGGTGAGGCCGTCAGACGGCTTCTTCCCGCAGTTTTATCTTGACTTCTTCAGCGTCGTCGGCAAGCCGGGCCGGCCGATATCAAGGCACGGCAGCCCGATCTTCGACAATATCACCGTCTCCTTCCAGCGGTGGTCAGCGCCATACGGCGCGAAGCACGTCAGCAGGATCCCCTTCGACGTCGCTGGCCGGACGTTCAGGATTGCGGAGGCAGCCACGCGCGAGACCTGGTTCATTGTCATGCACCCTGTGACGGGAGAGGTGTCCGAGCTACCGTCGTTAACCGCAGACGCCCGACGGAGGCGTGAGCAGGCCGGCGAGAAGAGCGGGATGCCAATGCCGCTAGCCTGCGAGTTGGCTTCGTACACCACCGGCATATTTCAGTCCCCAGCGCTCCTCGGTGAGGGCATCCAGCGGTCATGGCGGCCCGGCGGTCAGGAGAGCCAACGAATCAGCTCGAACCGGTGGATGTCTTTCCAGGAGGCGTTCATGGAGGGCTGGGCGGCCTGGTCGGGGCGACACAGCGGTGCCACGTCGTTTTGGGCGAGGCACGAGCCGGCCTTCCACGCCTACGACTACGGGGCCAACATCGAGATCGAGGTGAGCGAGGAGCTGTACGACCTGCCGCGGGAGAGGCACTGCGCCATGGACGACAGTGAGGACGAGGAACACGGGGAAGAAGCAGGAGGAGGCCAGGTAGACGAAGACAACGACAACGAGACGCTCCGGCTCGAAGAGCTGTCCATGGCTGATGATGGGCTCAGGAGGGCAGAGGCGGAGGGAGCGGCGAACGCGAACTGGTGCACGCGCGGCAGTCGTGGCGGCATCGACAACGCGAGGTACCAGCGGATATTCGACGAATGCGACGGGCTTCGGAAGCTCGTGTCGGAGCTTGAGACGCGGTTCCAGCTGGAAAACATCACAGCCGTCTCGTACGCGCTAGCCGTCTGCATCAATAGCGATAGAACCACCGAGGCCGACCGTTCGGAGACGCGCTGTCTGCTTGCCGACAGAAACATGCTTGCGAGGGAGTTTGCGAGCACCCGCGACTACACCTTCTACCCCCAAGCGTTCCACCCGGTGTGCGGAAATGTGTCATCCAACTGCCCGCCTATGTTCCTCAACTCGCTCTTCGCCGCTATGAAGGGGAACATGAGCGATCTGAACGAGGGCGCCGACGTTCTCTCGTTCGGCTACTTCCAGGGATACTCAAACATCAAGCGAAGCGTCCGCCACAGCCCTCATGACTTGTTGGCCACGAAGGGGTATGCAACAGGGGCGCTGACCGTGCCGACTTCGGGTGCCTGAGCGACGTCAGCAGCGAGGGAAAAGCGCGAACGGTTACTGCGCATCATCCGCGGCCCCAACGAGTCGAAGCTTTTCGCGAGGGAGCGTCAGTAGATCGACGTCGCCATCGAGGCTGAGGAGGTGGCGTTCCGGCATGAGCAAGTTGTGTCGCTGGACGTGCAGCGTATGACCGGCGCTGAGCGGACGTTCAAGACTGTCATCAGGCCCATCTTCTAAATCATGCGCTTCTTCCTTGTCGAGCACGAGTCGTTCGTGCACATATTCCGGTCGCTGCCCCTCGAGATCTTCCCGCGCATCATGTGCGCGTACTCGCGGCTGTTTAAGCTTGTTCTCGACGAAATGGAGCGTCAGTTCGTCCTGGGCGGCGAGCAGGGGCTCGACCTAGCGCGTTCAGAGGCGGTCGCCGTCGTCGACCGGCTGGGCGGGTACATGTTCTCGGGACATCCGCGACACCTCCCGAGAACGGTTCTCAGGCCGCTCGGTACGCTTGAGAGCCTATGGGCGGGCGGCTGGCCCTTCCTCGACCCGGCCGTCGTCAGCCTCGGCGCCCCGGGCTCGGGCGGGGCCGTCATCAACATGGGCCGGTGGCCCCACTCCGCCAGGACCGGGCGGCCCGTGCTTCTGCACGTCCGGGAACTGCACCACCACTACGGCGCCCGAGTTGCATCTTGTCGGGAGATTGCCGTCTGGTTCGCGCAGCTGGGCGAGCATGCGTTCGCGAGCAAGACTGCAGTGGCCGCGTTCGCCGAGGAGCTCGTCCGCGAGCTATGGGTCCCGCAGACGAAGACCTTCATCATGCAGCAGCTCAGGCGTCGCCTTCATGAGGGCGGTGGCGACCCAGGCAGACCCATCACGATGGAGAATATAGCCTCATGCGAGACGGCCATGGCGGCGTGGGAGGCGGCGCCCGACGCGTTCACATGGAAGGCGCTGCAGCGACTGTGTCGGGGGTTACGACTCGGCGGCGAGCGCGTGGCCATCGCCGTCTCAAAGTAGCGCACGCGGCACGACTTCGTCGCCGAACTCCTGCGGGTCATCGGCAGTGAGAAGGGGAGGGACTCCTTCGCAGCCAAGAATGCAACGTGGCCGCTCACACTCCACTTCGCCATTATCAACGGTCGTAAGTCGGCAGACGGGATCGGCGTAGGGATATGGGTCGCTGTTGTTACAGGCTGTTTCCTCGCCGCCGGCATCGAGTGGGTGCCCGACTCTGCCCGCGGCCGGCTCACTTCGAGAAGCGTCGTGCGGCTGGGGGGCCAAGCCACGGTGCAGCCGGCGCCCTTCGGCCCCCCTGGATCGCTACGGCGTGTAGCCCAGGAGGCGGATATTAACCATGAGAGGACGGTAAAGGACCGGGTGCAGCGCCAGGAATGCCAACCGCAGATCGACTTTGGCTGTCCCTTACCATTCACTAACATCCCCAGTCTGATTCTCGCCGGCTTCAATCAGGCCAAAGCGACATTCTTAGGCAAGGGGGATGCAAAGGTGCTGGACCACTACCAGATAGCTATGAATTGTCTCGCCGAGAAGATTGACGACCCACTCTGCCATCTGATGCTGATGATCACACTAACCGTTTGCTCATCATCAGAGACGCCAGAAGTAGTGCAAGGGTCGCATAGGTTCAGCGTTGCGTCCAAGAGAAATGACCCAGGCCAACTGGCCCTCGTCATGGTTACGCGGATGATGTGGTTCCTCTACCCGGGCTCGTTCCCCTGGGCGAAGGGCTCAGGTGGGACGGCGTACGACGTAGCGGAGATAACGAAGAAGATTGGTAAGTGATGCTAGTACTCTAACGTCATCCGGACAGCATGAAGCGACGCATACTGACACAGTGTTAGAGCATAAAGGCTGTAGTAACAGGATGCTGCGAGAGCTGGGCTGGGTAACGTCCAGAAGCAAACCGGACAGCCCGCGGAACACAGATCTACAGCTCCAGCCCCAAGAGCAGCTGCTGAAGACATTCCGAGATCTACGTGGCGCCTTGAAAAGGCCAGATGACTTCATCAGAATGGTCTTCCGTAGCGATGAGGAGATCTGGATGGACCGCTGCTCAAGTATCATCCACGGTTAAGAACTTCATATAACATCAGCTTGCTCTTTACGAATTGGGATGAAAGGCACTAGTTCCTGGAGCTATCACAGCTCCCCCTTGTCCCTGGACTACGAACCTTACGACTTGGGTCTTTGGACTGTGCTATAAGTGAGCGCACTACGCTCCTAGAAAGATAAAAAACAGCACTTTGAACAGTCAGTTTTAGGTCTGTTAATCTTATAGGAGAGGGACTAGATAGTTGGTATGAGTTGGTAGCACTTCTACGACATGAGCTGTTAGTTGAGGTGCTATACCATACCTTAAGGGCTGTTCCAGCGAGGATGCAGATCACCAAGCAAACGTTATGCTGCCTAAGTCTCTGTATGCAGAGAACCCTCAGGAGTTGGACGAACTAGTGACAGAATTAAAGCATACTTGAATGGCAGAAAATTGCATGAGCTGTGAGGCGCTTAGTATAGATAGATAATATATTATAAGCATCCCTTTGTCTTCTATGAGAGTCTTCTTATATTCCAGTGATATGTAATAATACTAGGTCCTAAGGCTTACAGCAGCTAGAATTGCATACTGAAATAGTTCTAGCATCTCACAATTTCTAAAAGTCCCTCACCTAAGGCTAAGAGCTATGTGATGGGGTGGGATAGTGTTGGGATCAAGAGCAGGTCTGACTGCCCACGCTTCCACATACGACCATACCTACTGGAGAACTCGGGATCCCGTCCGCTCTCCCATAGACAAGCCAGTGAGGGCTGGAGTAGTAGTCGGGTCGGTGACGACCGGCGAATTCCCGGTGTTGTATGTTTTTGCACTTTTTTGCTCCCTACCCCATACTGTCTGTCTTTAGTGGCGTGGCGTGGCATTGTGACTGTAACGAACTGTCGTCATCCTACAAGACATGCGATACACATTGCCCCCTTGAGTGCCTCAAGTGACATAATAGCAAAATGCAGGGGTGGTGTCCATTTGTGGATGTCGACCGGCTTTTCCCATTGTCTCGCAGATGACAACGGGTCAGAATGAGTACTCCGGCTTGCGATGATGTACGAACGACGTTAGATGGGAACTTCACGCATCACGGTCCACTTCACCACCCTGCCGAGCTTCACCCACTAAAGCATTACGCCACCACGTCTCGTCTGCCATCATTCCAGAAAACAGGCATCCTATTTTCGAGTAGAACGGATGGTCTATCTACCCCTTCTATGTATGCAATTACACCTAGGACTTTGTGTTTTGTCTATCCAGAATAATGCAGAGTTGAAGATTGCCGGTCGATATCATCACGTATGCCTCGTGAAACTGAGCAAAGGGTGTTTTTCTCGCACAGCCGACCTACGAGTCTCTTCATCAAAGAGCCCAGGCCCTTTTGATCAAAAAGGCCCTTTATCCTGCCGCAAGCGTGTTAGAATCAGTGCTATTCGTCTTATATAGCTCATAGACTGGCTTACAGGGCTTGCAGCACAACGTGAATTCCGAGCCGACGACACCGGGTTGACCAGTTATCTGCCTCGAACCAGTAACTTAGCATTCCGTTTGGCATGGAAGGTCGTCTCGATCAGAGCAAACCCATCCTTCAGTGAGCCCTCGGGAAATGGGATCAACATTCGACTTGCAGACTTCAGGAGCACGATTGCAGCCTGCTATAACGCCAAGAGCCATGGAGGCAGCGACGAGAGCTTGGGAGAATCTCATGGTGGTAATGGGAGTTGTGTTGTAGAAGTTAGAGGCGTTAAGATGGGAAGAGGAAAAGTGGTTATCACTTAGTCTGAATATGGAATAATCAGGCGATGATATTTATAATAGGATGTGCAGTTCCAACGCTTGAACGTTCTACGGGTTGCTCCGTGGCCTGTTATTTGCGCCCCCACGGTGGTGGATCCGTATTTCTCCCGCCCTACAATTAAGTTCCCTAGGTGATTCAGTTATTTATATCTTACCGCGTAATTAGTGATACAATAGACTCTTGTGCTACTCAGAATCCGCTCATCCCTGTAAACTGGGTATGGATTGGCCCAATTTACACCAACAGAAGTGTTCCCCGGACTGGCCAACCCAAGCCCTGTCTACAGGGGTTCAGCGGATTCTGAGTAGAACGAGAGTCTACGATACAAGGCGAGTCATCCCAAGTTATTCATCTTAATAGGTGCCGACTAGGCAGCCGGCTGAGCCGCAGATCATTTGGTGCGCACAACGGTGGCGCCAGGTTCGTCTAAAGCGACGCAACTGTATTTCTATGTCTGCCACCATCCCTGAGGCCAGCCGCAATTCATACACAGAGTACCTTCTGGCTAGCACTTCGCAGATACACATTGAAAGAAGGCCATGAGCGCAGGTCAGAAATCTTTTCCACTTGCCAACCAGGCGTTCGGGGTGCGTCTGCGCACCGTACATCCCACGCTTCTTAACAAAAGCCAGCTTTTCTCAACGAGTTGTCGGGGTTTAACTGCTGGCCATCTTGCACTCCGGCACCATAGTTACCGTTGACTTGGACTTGGTATCTCACAGGAGGCCGAGCCGAACCATCTATCATGGTCTGGGTGGAGTCCTTCGGAATACAGGCAGAGTCGACGACCGCTTGGTTGCTGTTGAGAAGTTCGATCTTGCAGGACTCGTCGCGGGAGAGGGCGCTGGCTGTGAATATCGCCGTGATGATAGTACAATATATGAGTCTCATTGTTGGGTGTTTGGTGGTTTTTATGTTTAGCTGAGTTCTTGGTGAAGAAGTGAAGTTATTTCCTGGCAGCTATTGGGCGAGAGACAAGCATTTATAAGCAGAGGATGCGTAGTCTGGACTTGCCACTTGGCTTCATTAAAGGCTGAGCATGTTTACCTTGCCATTGCCAATTCAAGGTTTGCTTAGCCACAATACCGGATTGCCCAAGCCTTTTTTTCGGGTCCATCCGTCTGCCCTGGGATTCACCATGCGAGGCTACGTGTATCGAAAAGATCTCTGAGGATGAAGATTACTGACTATTATCTCACTGCCGCTCTCTTTAAACGACGCAAGGTTATTATATTCCGAGGAGCTGGGAAGATAGTGAAGTTTGCGCAGAGCAAAAGTGACATTTATTCAATGCAAAATACTACATATGTCGACAGTCGATCAGAACTAAGATGTTACTGGGAACTACAGTATATTGCTAATCTTGCGTCGCTGGCACTGTCATTCGTCTCTTCGACAGTCATTCACGGTGCTCGAAGTATGAGAGACCACGGACTTCACCAGAGACATGCGATGGATGTCGAAGCCGTCAAGCTACCTGCCGTACCTTAGCCACCATTAACTTGGATCTACGTCTTGTGGGTTGATGCAAGTCCTTTTCGGGCAATCCTGATTGGCTATTAGCATCATATCTGCATTTGTGAAGGACGGGTTCGGCTGACAGCGTTGCTATTAGCAAAGCAGAGCTAGGATTTATTAGCGTGCGTGATGACAAGTGGCTGTGGGAACTCTTACGCATTTGTTGGATTCCAAGTCGGTGGAACAACAAACTCGGCGCGCGGCCAGAACAGGATCGGGTCTGTCGCGAGTACCTTTGGAGGGCGCTTCCGTTCCCACCCAGGGCCACGGCCGCGGTCAAAGACACAAACATGGCGTTGAGCAGCTTCATTTTCGAGTACTTGCAGATGTGATCTGAGGGTGTACGTTGCCTGGTTGAGAACGGTGGTATGATTCTTCGCCCAATTGGCTTTTCTCAGCCCAACTGAACATGCAATAAATATCGTGTTCGAATTTGGAATCGGGCCTTCCGTCTCGCATACTGGTACGGCTATTGACCGTGATGTTGTCTGATACAATTGATGCGTCATAATCTCTTCTGATTGATCTGCGCGTTTATGACTCGATGTTTCTTGCGATAGAGAATCCACAGGAAGGAAATTCCTTCCGCTCACTCTAAGATTAATGAATTTCGATGTCAATATCCTGGCTAATGATGGGTTTGCCCGTCAGCCCCCTGTGCAACAAGTGCTACTGACCTTCTTAACCTGGCCCGTCGGCCGCTGACATTCACACTCACAGGCCATGCGAGAATGTTTGTGGCTTTCATCAGCCCTCGTGAATTGATGTCTCAGGAGCGTTATTTTCTTGGGGTGCGTGTAGGTACGGACATAACGGCGCACATGGAATGAGGCTTACACCGCATCAACTGCCGAGAATACGGGTTCAAGACTGATGGTTCGAGATGAGAGAAAGAAGACTTGGGGATAAGGGGACCAGGGGTTAGCCGCTGAGCAACCTTAATCAATACGAGTGTCCACAAAAATGCGAGGGAGGAGTAACCCGCTTGATAACCTTAATAATTGGAAGTGTCCGAATTACCTGTGAAAAAAAACTTTAGTAACTGTCCTCTGTGAACCTGAAACCTTCTTTTGCCGAGTCGTTGCTATTTCCCATCAGTGACAATGCTGAGGGTGGATAGGGTGGATTCTCAGAGAGTGGTAGCGACTCGACCATGAGTTCGTGTGAAACCCGGCCGCGACAGCTCGCGGAGTTTTGAGATCAGATCAATCTGGCATGCTTGCGAATAGGGACAGCTCCGCAGAATTGGAGTAGATGCACAGCTTTCAATTGATATATCCACGCCAAGCGAACCAGGAGAAAGAATAGAAATGCCCCTGTAGGAAATATATTGATTAGGCTGTTCGACTTTTCACTGTGAGCCCATCACAATCTGATATTCTGCGTGTATCTAGATAGAAAAAACGCAAAATAAGATAACGGGCACGGCATTCGGAGAACGCTGCAGTTACGTACAGACTTGACATGAGCAATGCAGAAACATTCTCTCCGGTTATAATTACCAGCCTCGATCCTGCATCCTGTGTCCCAAGAAATTCCCTCCACATCAAGTCACCCTGATACCACCCAGACCTTTCGGAATGTAAGTCTACACACCCAAATCAGCAGCACTTAGGTGTCTGCTTAAGATGCCTCCTTGTTCACTAATACATACATAGCAGTACGAGTATACAATGCGGGCTGTTGTGCTCAGCGCTGCCGCAAGTGCAAGTCACTTGGCAAGTAATACAAGCCAATCGGCCAAGTTGACGCTATCGCTACTACCCAAGTGAGCAAATCCATACCCCTCACTTGAATTGTTTAACTTGATGTCTTATATATAAATAGCTGGCTAATAGGAGGTCGTAGATCAGCTGTAGCCCCACTTATTCAAGTATACCCAGCCACAGGGGCATATATGAGAGCATATGTGAGAGGATATATGAGAGCATACGTGAGAGCATACGTGAGAGCATACGTGAGGGGGGGGCGGAGAGCTTCCATCTAAGGTTCTCCTAGGGGGCGTATATAAGGGTAGGGCTTCTGAATAGCTTCAAAAATTGCCTAATTAGGTGATACTATATTACGTAAGAATTGACTTGACAGACTTGCAAGTTAGCCAATAATCAAAGCCTAGGGGGGGAGGACACCAAGTTGACAAGTATGGGGGTCAAAATTGACTTGATTGCACTTGCGGCAGCGCTGGTCAGAGCACACCTTTCCGGACATTGGGATTCTTGTAGATGAAGAGTACTAACCAGAGTGCGTCAATCCAGAGGTAGCGTAATCCCAATCTTCGCGTCGTGACGATAGCATCTTGAAATGTCTGGGGCATGACCTTCATATCGATGCCCGACTTGTGTTCTTCGAGACTGGCAAGGGTGGTCCGGAAATGATCTTTTCCTTGACCCCACATGTAGCTCAAGGCGGCGTATTTTCCAGGTGCGTGTCGGACCTCGCACAGCTTGATGTTCGTTTGGTCGTCTTGGATGCCGACGTCGAGAACTCTGGTCGGCAAATTCACGTCGCCTAAACAACACTCGAGCTGCGCATGCTCTCGGTTGCAATCTGTCACCCATCTCGCAATTTGGTCGAATATTGAGCCATGTGTTGGATTATTCATCAAGCATCGTCCGGTAATTGAGGAGCTCAATGGGTCGTTGTCATCAAAAACACAAAGTCTGAAAGCACCAATGAGATTGATGGCATCCTGCTCCGCGTCGAAGGATATGACCAAGATATTGTCCGTGTCCTCGGAGTATTTGACGAGTTGCATCTCCCAAACTGAGCCGTCCTTGAGGTACTTGCTGATATGTCCATCATTATTCTGCCTGCTCAATTGGGCAAGCCAGCTCTTGAAGACGTAAGCGCCGTTGAGCACCGCGACACAGACGGCGCAATCTGTTGATGCGTTCAACAGGTCTTCGAAAGTTCGATGGAACTGAACGCCAAATTGCGATACTTCGTCTTCTTTCCAAGGACCCCAGAGTTGCAACAAACTCAAGGTGGGTCTAAAGATGGATCCCTTGTTCAGCATGTATTTTTCCGGGTATGTGGGGATGTTGAGGAGATCAATAGACGAGCAGGTACTGCAAAGCGACATATCACGTTCCTCGGCCATTGTTGTATCATCCGGCACGGGCCGTTGCGAAACAGCAACAGGAATGGAAGATGTCAAACGATAATTAGGGTCAGCTTCTGTCCGGAACAGTGATGGCAATAAGTGAGGGGTAGACGGGCACACGGGATGGATAACCGATGGTGCATCAAGCTTGCTAACTTTGGACTAGCTCATGGCGCGAAGGAAACCAGCCAGCCACCGATGACGCCACTCGCTGCATCGCACAAAAGTCAGTTGATCGCCCACACATCAAAGAGACGTGTGTCAAGCGCCCCCCCTCTCCCATTCCCTTCTCGCGTCGGAGATTCTCCATGTTCTCTTGGACCGAGAAGATCCTTTCAACGTCCTCGTCGAGAGTATTTGTGTCTGGGGAGGAGAGGTAGATGATCGGCAACCAGGATGAAACGAAAGACAGCGAGGATGGTGTATGTTTGCCAGCCAATTTTATAGGTAGCAGGAGCTGTGATGTAAAGAATTATCGACCGAGTTTTAAGCCACAGGTTGCACGATAAATTGCAAGCGGAACGGGCCGTGCTATGCGGGGCCCGCTTCCACCGTGACTTCGGGTCCGCCGGAGCCGGCTCCGCTTCCGAAGACCCGGCTTCCGAGCTCAGGTACGTACCCTAGATAACACAGGTTATCGTTTCTAATCTTATCTCGGGTATCCCACTAGATTTCTCCTCTAGTTCGCGGTCAGCTGCGCGTTTTTCTGAGTGACAAGCACTTGTCGCTTGCATCGCCCACTCCAGGAAACGTGCAGAATGAGGAAGACGATGATGATGAAGATGGCGGGAACGAGTCGGTACACTGCCTTTGGCCTGAAAATACGGTGTTGTACTTGAACTTGTCAACCCTTGCGCTGGATTGAAGCCAAAATGGGCTCATCGCGGCACAGGCTCGGTGAGAGACGATGAATGTTGCTGGCGCTGCGCAGTCCAGCTGGAGGTCCTATTCTGTCCAAGGTGACAAAAAAGAAGGGCATGTGTATGTGAAGGTCGGTTTCGGGGGATCCACCTACTTCAAATGATGTTCTCATGATAACTATTGGGAACAAGGTGTTGCAGCAACCCCAGCAGAAACAAATATCGATGCAAGCATGAAGAAGCAATGTCCAACTCACTGCTCAGTGTCTCACGGTATCTTTACAAGCGACAGCGATGTCTACAGCCGCATGACTGACATATCACAAATGCGAATGAATGGAGCTCTGGTTGCAACATTGTACCCAGCTTTTCTCTCAGCTCAACCAGGCGACCCGTCAATCTGGTCTTTTGTCCAAGCCAGATGTGGTATGAAGGTGTTTTTCTCAATTGCGGCATCTAGATGTACATCAGATGCTAATCATTGCCAACATACCTAGCTCGCTTCTGTGTACGACTGACAGTCTAGCCGCACACATCGGATAACCGCAAGGCCCCGTTGCCTTGACGGAGACCCTCGATACGTGGATCTATCTGTCTTTAGCCGATCCGGCCGTGGTATTCACATGCGGGGACCGCCCAACTTCCCAAGCTAGACAAGATAACTTTTGATCCCGGGAATCAGGACACATCGAATGCCCTATTGTGCCAGTCCTCGGTCCAATGAATAAACCTTCAGAAACTAGCTGTAGAATTTGGACACTCTTCTTCTCTGCACTGCGGTCAATCACCCCTCAACGGTTTGATGCTGTCCGCCGGGGTGATTCGTCTGCCACCAAATGCTTTCGAAACGCGTGACCTCATCCAATCCAGGAACGAATTGGGACAGCCCAACTGGACACAAAACGACCCCGGCAGTACTAACACCGTCTCTGAGTTTCACCTGTGGTACTCTAGGCCTTGGTGAGCTACCTTTCTTTTAATCCACCTTTAGTTGCTTAGTCTTTGTTGCAGCGGCTTACCAGCCCTGCGTGCGATTGGTTCTGGCGACTGAGATTCTTCCCAAACCAGAGGTTTTGTGATGTTCGCCTATTGCCACCGTTATTTGTGACAGCTAATACTTGCCTTCTGAGCGTTGGAATCTTAACTCGGAACGTCAGATTCGTGTAGGCTTAGCGGATAGTGATTCGACACTGATGTGCGTGCGGCGTCATTCTCAAGGTAAAGTTGGAAAAATTGCTGCTGTGTGGGATTCCTCCCTCGGAAATTTCGTCGTCAGAAGGACGATGCGCGCGTAGCTGCTCACATAAGTCCAAGGCTTGGATCGTTATCAGCCTGTATGTGAGGGCAAATGGCGTCCACAGTGTGAGGGAAATCTCAAAATCGAATATTTGCTTGGATGTGTCAGAGACATTGCCATCGACAACCGCAGCCGTTATGTCGACAGAAGTGGATAAGACAAGGCCCCAGGACATCTCCAGGGAACTTTCAGACCAACATTGAAAAGGGAATATTGTCCCGATCGCAATCTTGAAAGTAATTGCAATTTCCAAGACAGTATGTTATTCGTAAAGTCATGATGGGTCTGTGGCGGAAGGGAAGCGGAGCCGGTAAATTAAGTAACCACCGCCGTTTGCTACATGTCCTGCTTGGCAATTCAAGACCACACGACGCCACCAGAGCTTGTCAAGCAAAGACTGCAGCGGAAGTCGAGGGCGTTGTTTGGTAAGGCAGATGGCTGGCAGAAACCGCGAGCTGAAATCAAGTAGCCGTTGAGATCCTCGACGCACTGTATCGCTCAACACATGGGGATCTAGTATATCTCAATTCAGCAGTTCGCCCCCTGAGTCCAGGCCACTTGGGACTGCCACTGTTACTACCACTTCACAGTGGCGATGATGGTCAAGCCTTCAATTACAATCGCGTAACGCCAAGGGATAGTGCTCTAGCCGGTCCAGGTGCTAGGCGTTAGAACAAAGACGGATGGCATGTTCTGGGCCTTCCCGGACCAGCTCTAGTCTGAGCCACCTGCATGCCATCCGCGCCACGTTCGCAGCACCAAAGCGCTCCCCCATTCTTTCAAAACCACAGGGGAGTCGCCAAAGGCGGAAAACCGAGAGAACACTACCACCTTTGACGCAGTTTTGCGGCCGCGCGAAGGAACATCGGCATTGGTTTATCAGGGGAAACACCACAAGTGTGGCGACTCTCGCAGGACGCTTCCGTCGAATTTGGGCAACCACAGCTCTTGAAAAATGAGACTCATCCCACAGCTGCCGACACAGGGTCTATTTTCTCTCGCTTGTCTGCGCCAGAAGGTGATTTCTCTGACGCTGCCTGAAAGATGAGACTATCGCTTGGCATTATGGCTATTGCTGGGGTTGCCAGACTGGCTGTTGCATCTCCTTTCACCGATGCTCTGGCCGCCGCCCCTGCCTGTGCTGTTCGTCCATCCATTCGTCGTCTTCGGGAAAGACAACGTTTAGGTAATATTTATTAACGCCGCGGCAGGTCACATGTACCATCACTGCCCTTCCGCAGTCTCCTTGCACGATCGAGAACACGACATGCCTGTGCACCAATCCAATATTCAACGGTCTCGTAGGGGAGTGCGTCCAGAAGGGCTGCACTATCAAGGAAGCTCTCAGTATGTCTTCGGTCCTTGCCCGCCGCTTTCCCCTCCATACAGAGAATGAATTGGCTAATGTCTTATGCAGCTGTTCAAAACCTGACGTGGTCGGCATGCGGGTTCCCTTCAACGGACAAGAGACATACTGCAAGGTACGCCATAGGATGCTTGATAATACTACCTGTCATTTTCATGGCTATCCGCCTGGCTAGCTGGGCCTTCAGTTTGACGCCATGGGGCGCAGAAGATACAACTGTTAGCCTGGCACTCGTATGTTACACCTTTTGAAACATCTTTTGGCCTCCGGGTTTCTCATTCAATCAGATCCTCTTCATACCCTTTCCCACACTGGTCCTCATTAGTAAGTTTCTTGATGTCCAATCTTCACTGAAACCTAGGCTTACCTTCCATCAGTGCTCTCTTACGGCCTCGGGCGAGACATATGGGTTTTGCAATCTAATGAAGTGACTATGTTTCTAAAGGTAGCTTGAACCCCCTCATCCAATCATTGCAGAATCTGAGAAGTAATACCCTTTGCGACCAGCTTGTTTTCATCATACAATTCTTTTACATAGTCGACCTCGCGTTGATCAAAGCGTCGATACTTTATCTTTATCTCCGAGTCTTTCACGTAAGCTCGATTCGGGCTATCCTCTGGGGAACCCAAGTCTTCAACCTTCTCTTGTGTACCCTGTTCGTGCTGGTCAGTATCTTCCAGTGCCAACCTATCCAACATTACTGGAACGGCTGGGATGGTGAGCATGCGGGGAAATGCCTCAGCCTACAAGATATTGTACTCACTCACGTCGCCATCAACGTCGGCTTGGACGTGTGGATGCTCATTCTCCCACTAACCCAGATATACAAACTGAAGATGCCGCTTAGGAGGAAAATTAGCGTGATGACCATGTTCAGCATTGGGATTTTGTGAGTGATTCCCGCCCCTTGTTCCTAGATGTGCCACCTTTCTGACGGTTCCAAGCCTCACTATTGTGAGCATCATTCGGATCAAGAGCCTGCTAGACTTTGCGAAAACACCCAACATTACTGGTGAGTACTCCTTTTCAGAAGCCGTGCTCCACTGAGATAATAACTTGGGCTCCCCAAAGCTGAGTTACTTGGGGGTATAATTTGGTCTCACATCGAGCTCTGCGTTGGGATTGCGGTTGCTTGCATGCCGGCTGCGAGACATCTAGCTTGGAAGCTCTTCCCAAAGCTGCTGAACCTCAGTCGGCGTACTCTGTCAAAGTCCAGCAAGACCAATCATCCAGTTCACGCAGAAGAGCTTCAGCCTGTTGCTAAAGAGCGGAGCTCATTAAAGTCCGACACCACAACAACTCTTCATTCGACCACTACAATGGTTGACCCCAATACGCCGAACAGTGCGCATTTCCCTTGAAGCCGTCTCTGCCGCAAGGCGGAAAGATGCCGAAAAGAAGAAAGGGGACATGCGGTTGAAAGGTTACATAGTGTACTGTGGAAAGGTCTTGCCACCACCACTGTTCAAAGAC